AACAACACACAATCTCTCTCCCCCCCCCCCCACTATTTGAATAGGCAGCTATGGAGGGAAGGGGTGGAAGAAAAGGAGTGCGCTGTAACTTCCTTTCCATGCACAAGCTAGGCATGAATATGCATGAGAGTCAAAATGCATTTGCTCTGCATTCAGAGATTTAATATCTAGGGAATCCTGGAAGGGTTTGAATCCTGGAGCCCTCTTGTGCAAATGAATGTACAGTACATTCACATTAAAAAGGTAAATAAATCACAGCACAATACTATATAGGAACCTAGGAAGTTGCCTTATACCAAGTCAGACCTTTGATTCCAAATTTCTCAGTGACTGGCAGCCTTTTGCCTGAGTTTCAGGTCAGGAATCTTTCCCAGCCCTAACCTGGCGATGCTGAAGATTGAACCCAGCTGAAGAGAGAGATGTCTCTCCTCTCTCTCTCTCTCTCTCTCTCTCGCACCCACCCCTCCCCCTTCTCTGTGTGAAATCAAATCCCTTGGTGTCATGTGCTTCCTGGAGCATTGGCCAAGGTGAAGGTTTAGCCATTCCAAGAGTATTTAACATTCTCAATCGGCTCCTGACAGTTGCTGGAGTAACGTCCTAGTCTGCCTTTGAGTGCCTACATCTAGTCTGAATTTCTCCCAGTTCCACTGGAAGCAGTCTTTGGTGCTGCTTGCCTGTTTAAACTGCATGGACTGCTTTGGCAGTTCTGCCCATGGGCTCTGCCTGAAGCAGGATGCTAACATGTGAAGTGGCCATCCTTCCTCCGAATGAAGCGCTCTAAGGAATTTGCTTATGAATGCCTCTGTGCATCCACACCTTCTTCTTTGGTGATCACTTGTAGCTGAGTAAGATTGTCTTCCATGAAAAGAGTCTTAACTGTGTGACCGTAAGTGACTGTGGAGGCCAATTCTGGATCCACACGTCCTTCCACAGTGGGGACATTGGTTTCCAGGTGGGAGTTGATCACGGTGTGGATTTACCAAGCGTGCCTTCCTCTTAGCACGTTTCTTCCTTTCGTCCTGAGTTCGAGCGTCTTCAAAGTCCATGACACCTTTGGTAAAGGCTGTTCTCCAACTGGAGCACTCGCAGGCCAGTGTTTCCCAATTGCTGGTGTTTATACGACTTTTTTTTTTTAAGATTTGCCTTGTAAGAATCTTTAAACCTCTTTGGAAGTGTGAACAGTCCTTGTGGCGATTTCTTGTCTTCAACCACCTTTTCCTAGGGAGTACCTAGAACTGTGTGTTATTTGCATAAGAATGAAGCCTTTGACAGAGGGCCAAAACAGCACCCTCTGCATGGTGAAACTCGCACTCTGGGTTGTGTCATTTCTAATGTTGCTATGAACAATTTATCGAAATGGCTTGACAGTTTGGCATATTTTGCTGACATTAATATAGTCGCTGTAATTCAAAAGCTGCGCAGTATTGTCTACCAAATGCTTTTATCCAATAAGAATAACTTTATGGAACAAAATCCATCAAAGTTAAGAGAAGGGGTGGGGAAGGGAGGAAACCCAGGAACATTGCCTCAATTTTTACAGCTTCCAGAAAAAAGTAGCCTTAATTGACAGCAAACAAAGTACAACTAGGATAAAACCGTAGCAAACTCAAAGGCCAGCACAGCCCGAGTATTTATTCCACAAAGTTTGCTACTTTTAAGTTGCAGAGTGTGGTATGGTGCTCTCAGATGGAAGGGTATTGTTCATGCAGAGTGCTCCTGCTAATGTTTGAGTGCGGAAACAATGGAACTCCATGGAAATGCCAAATGAGGACATGCTGGGTGAGCTCAGATAATGAAAAACAAGCAGGGGTTTAAACTGACCTTGGGATAAATGTCAGCTTTTGCAAGGCTGATAGTTTCAAACTTGGGTGCATATGGTTAGTTTTCTGTACTTCCGCTGAAGCATATCAATAAGTCACTGGGTTGCCACTTGCCTGTAAATAACCAAATGGGATTAACAGGCCTTTGCTAAGTAGATGCAATTGCCCACTCCGGGTTAGGTCACTCAAAACAATGAAGACAAGTGTGAGATCACAGCAATAGGATGGAACCTGTTGTGGACTTGCAATTATGGAGGCCTGGATGTGGATTCTACTTCAAATCCATAAAGCTGTCATGTTGCTTACCCCATGGGAGGCTATTGTACTAGAAATAAGGTTGCCAATGGCCACTGGAAATACAATTATTAATTACTATGCTCTATTTCTTGTATGTTCTCCCTCAATGTCTGAGTACCAGTTGCTGAATATTGCAGATGAAGAGAGTGTTATTGTTCTCAGGTTCTGTTTGTGGCTTTCCTATGGGAATTTGATTGGCCACTGTGAGAACAGGGAGTTGGACCCAGATGGGTTTTGACCGACTCAAACAGGCTATTGTTTGAGGTTTATGTTATTAAATTAAACAGGCTCAAACAGGCTTATGTTATTAAATTGGTATGGATGATTCCTTTGTGTTTTTTAACCATCATAACTGAAGGTTAATTTGGACTTTGCAGTTTTGGAATTGATAGTTCTACTGTGCGAAAGTGTTTGTCCAAAGGTAGTATTGTTTTTTCCTACACAGTACTTCAAAAAGTTCTGCTGTTGGTCCTAAAGTAGCAAATACTAAATAAGAATAAGAACAGAATAGCAAGGTAGCAAAAATGCATAGGTGGAAGAAACACAGATTTTAAAAAAAGAGAGAATAAAAAAGGGAAAGAAGCAAGGTAAACATATATGATAAAAAAATAATACAGTCATTTATTACCATTTGGCCTTAAGACACTCTCAGACACTCTCTCCCTGCTCCCTGCTATTGCCCAACCACATCTTAAACCTAATGTACATCTTGAACCAACTAACAAAGAAGCTGGCAGTGCAATCTTACAGATGTCTTCTCAGAAATGATTTCAGCTGATTCAATAAGACTTAAGGCCACCTGTTTCCTTGTAAACTGAGGTGGCAAGCATGAGGACATTTACTAAAGAACTTACTTACTTACTTCCTAGCAAAAATGATTAGAGACATTGATAGCAATAAGAGGTTCTAGCCATAAATAAATAAATAAATAAATAAATAAATAAATCCTGGTTTCTGAGATCTACTGTTGTATAACACTATGCACAGTGTTATATCACAATTAGTCTAATAGCTAATTTTCTGTTTCCTTTCATATTTTTGTCCACAGTCCTTCTTAGTCAGCTATAAAGTCCCCAGTATGTTTATCAGCAGGTTCTTCTCTTCCAATTTCGCCTCAGGAAGGCCTTAATCTGGGAATGCTGAGCCACTTGCCTCAGGAACTGCCCCCAGGTTTGTTTAAGCAGAAGCTCACAGCATCTGGCTTTCAGCTTCTCTGCTGTCTTTCCTCAGGGACCACCTGCAGGTCTTTAACCAGAATTATTCAGGACATCATCCCATACAGCTTGTCTCAGGCCCTGGCTGCCTCTAATAGACAATTAGATCTCTTTTCCCTGGACAAGGTGGTTTGCTGTTTCCTCATTATGCTGATCTCTGTGTATTCAGCCTTACCTCAATCATATAGCCATTTGGAGATTTCTGAGAATCTGTCAAGGGTCCTTATCTTCCCACCACTAGGGATGAGCAATGCTTCTGTAGCCACTTCATGGAAATGCTTCTCACTGATGGCTAAGAATCATGACTGAATTACCTTGAAGCTCTCACACCATGGTAACTTTTCCTTTCATTATCGTACTTCTATTTCCGATTCAAGTCTTTCACTGGCTGTGAAGGAGTTGCCAAAAGAGCGTCACTTAGGCACATGGTGGAGGCGTCGGGAGACTTGGGGAAACCCTGAGGTTTACCAGTGACACATGCCCCTCCCTCCCAAAAAACCAACCCAATAGGACTCAGTGGAACAGAATGTTATTGACTTAAGAAGAATGGAGCGAACTGGCTAGAAAGGGAGGAGGAAAGAAGAGACACAAATAGGGTTAAATTTCCTGTTTCAAGAAGTCCATACTTGAATCCTAAGAATGCAAAGTCAACATCAGTTATGCTGGTTTAACTCCTGTTCTAGGGATACAGAGAGCTAACTATAACAGTTCACATGGATGCCTTCTGAGGTAAGGGAGTGAGACTGAGCAGGCAGATTTCATTCAGCTCATGTTGGAGGCAAGTCTTCCCTTGCTGGCACATGTATGAATGAATGGAGTATAAAAACACATGGAATGCCCATTGCCTTTAATCCAGCCAGACTTCAGACTTCAATGGGTAGTGACCCATTCAACAGTAATTGTACTCTGATGCCCCAGAAAGCACTTTTGTTTTTGTTTTTAACTTCAACTTAAATTTTGAGTCCATTTCTTTCCACATATCATTCTCTTCTCCTTGTGCCAATTTGTCTTTAATTAGAATGTAAGCCTCTGGCTGCCTAACAGCATCTGCAGTGCCTAGTTGTACATGGTAGGGGCTATAAAATAATATAATATAAAGTAATAAGTGGCTATGATGATTTTACAGGTATCTTTTTTATGTTACAAAATGTGGTTAACATTTTGTTTCAGGCTCTCTTTTCTTTCATTTACAGGTTTGAAGCCTCTGTCTCAAAATCCAGAGATGTGTGCTCTTTATCCTGCAAAATACTATGCAGTGGTCAAGCATGAGTTTACCGCCTGCGCTTGAGTTGTTTTCCTGGAATCTAAAGGCATCAGTTTGAAGATTATTGAAAGTGGAATCCAGTGCAGCACAAAGTCTCTCATTCGTTCAGCACAGGGTTTCTACTTGCACCCCAGAATGTTCTCCCCCTGTGTATTTCCTAAATTTGTTGTAGAGCATCTCTTCTGGAGCAGATCTGGGGATGGCATGGTGCACACATGGGGGAAGCATACATACTTCTTCCCCCACACACTGCTTGTTTTCTTTGACATGCAAGCTTGTTTGATGTATAAATATATTGGCTACAAAGTATAATAAATTAATACATTTTTTAAAAATAATAATAATTGAATTTTAGAGCTGGAAGGATCATTTAGCTCAACCCCCTGCAATTTAGGAATATGCAGCTGTCCCATGCAGGGATCAAATCTACAACCTTGGTGTTATCAGCACCATGCTCTAAGCAACTAAGCTATCTAGGCCCAAGCTGTGCAAGGGAAAGGGTCTTGGCTTAGTGGTAGATCATCTGACTGGGATGCAGAAGGCCCCAGGTTAAATCCCCAGCAACTCCAAGTAAGGCTAGGAGAGATGCCTGCCTGCAATCTCTCTGCCTGTCACCATGGATAATACTGAGCTAGATAGACCAATGATATGAACCCATATAAAACAGTTTCCTATGTTCCTATCCACCTGGAGATAACTTTGGTATTTGTATTCCCCTGAACTTGTAGGTGAGCTGAAATGTTCCCTATTTGCTAGTCATAGCTTGTGAATTATAGATCAGCTACAACCCAAACATGGGGAACATTACATTATATACTGAGTCCAAACAGTAAAAGAATCTATGTGACATGAGTCAATTAGAGGATTTTAAAGGGATAAGCATTAAATTAGTAATGATGGAAGAGTCAAATCTGAAGTACAATGTTTAATTTATGGTACTCTGAAATTGGGCGGCCTTATTGTCATGTTTCAAGTGGAGAAACGCGGGTTGCACTAAAATGTAATTACTCTTAAGTAGAACTAGGGCAGATTTCACAAGAAAAGACTTGGATTTTTTAAATGAATGAATGAATGAATGAATAAGTAGTGATCTCTTGCTCCTCCTTGTCAAAGAAGTCAATGTGTGCAACTAATTGGTGCCAGAGTACAAGACTCAAGGCTAGGAAACGGACCTAGGGAGCTGCTGTAATTAGGGACATCTTTGGCTAGCATTGGGAATTTCCAGTGGAGAACATTCCCAGACCTACCCGATGCTGGGGATTGAACCTGGAACCATCTGCATGCAGAGCAGAGGCTCTACCACTGAGCTAAGGCCTAAGGTGACCTTCCCAGAGCCTGGTAAGCAATGTGGAGGGATAAAAAAACTCTCTACAGCAGGAAAACCCAGCACAGAGAGAGTTTTTAAGCCCTCCACCTTATTTACTGGGCTGTGGGAAGGTCATGGAAGATCTTGTGGGGCCTTTTCAAGATATTGGACAGCCTCTTCTGGCTGTCCCCCCACCTCAATCCCCGCTTAGTTATTTAGTTATCTTTCTGCCACCTGCGCAAAGCTGCAATTGTTTAAGCGAATCATGCTGAAGTTGTGGGTCTACTGTAATAATAATAAAAAATCTCCTAGTGTCTAAAGCACAACGAATCCATCAAGGAAGGAGTTCCAGAAATGGAGTGCCCCAGCCAACCCTCCCTCCCAGGTTGTCACAAGGCTCACCTCTGAAGGTGAGCATTAGCAGATGAATTCAACAAATGGGCAGGTTGATGTCTTTGTCCTAGCTCTCTCATTGCTCTCCTGTGTCTGACCTTGTGTAGGGAAGCCTACCTGCCTATTGCCTACTGCCTCTCACTTGCCTATTGGGTAAGCTGTGTCCAACAGTGCCCCCTGTAGGTTCTGACCAGCTAGGATTGGACAGAGGATTTGCCTTACTCCGGGAACTTCAGCTGGAGGAAAAAGCACCGAGTACAGGAATTCTCTCCTGTTTAGTGCTCTCCAACCAAACCACCCAGCCTGCAAGGAGCTTTTATATGGACGGGAAGAAGTTGGAATGGTTCTCATGCAATGGTGCTAGTGGCATTGCACCATCACAGCACTTCTAACCTGGTATGTGCATTTCTAGCTGGGCCAATTACACTTCAAAGCCATAGGAGCATTGTGGTTCCTGAGTCCTGACACATGGGATTGATTTTAGAACTAAAATTTCATCAATGCAATAACAACACAACTGTTGGGAAAAGCCTGTCGGCCACAATTATGGAAGACAATAAGGCACCAGGTTTCAGGTGGATTGACTTCTGTGGCTGCTTTCTAACCTCAATTAAACATTAAGCCAAGTTTTGTGTGTGTGTTTCTCCTGAACTTCTGTTTTCATAAAAGCACAGCACTGGACCATAAACTGCAGAGATGTGACTTGTAGTTACTGCTATAATAAATGAGGCCAATTGGGTATCATAACATCCCCCTCCTTTTTAATACAGGCTTTTGAAAGTATGACAGACATAATGATGATTAATCACATTTACTGCAGGGTTGGGTGAGGGTTTTTTCGTGGTTTTTTGTATATTCACTTGTATCCTATGGGGTATCAAATACAGAGCTGTTACTTCTACTGCAAAATGCCAACTGGCATCATCTGTTGTTGTTCTTTTAAAATAAATGTTGCCTGGGACATGCTCTGATTTCGCTAGTAAATAGGCAAAAGCATAAACATCACAGGTGCTTTGCAAGCCATGCCAGACCATGTCACGGTGTTATTAATTTTTCACCTTTGGCTTCTTACTTGCTTTGAAACAGATCGGGCTCTTTGTCAGAAAAAAGGAAAGAAGGACTGCAGCTTAAATACAGGAATGTTCTGGTTTCAATTTTCCTCAAAAACGATGCCCGTTATCCTCTAGTTCTTTGTGTTAAGGCCCTTTTGACAAACCCAGACAATCAAAATGAAAATTATCATGTTATAATTCATGTACTTGGTTAATCATTAAATATCTAGATTATTGGACAATTTCCTCACTGTATTTGGTGGGGGTTTTTTTTTGGGGGGGGGCTTTCCTTAACAATAGAATCAATGAATAAAAACAATAGAAGGAATATCAACAATGGATCGTAGCAATTTGTGTTCCAGTATAAATTTGTAAGGGATGTGGGTGGCGTTGTGGTCTAAACCATTGAGCCTAGGGCTTGCCGATTGGAAGGTTAGCGGTTCAAATCCCCACAACAGGGTGAGCTCCCATTGCTCAGTCCCAGCTCCTGCCAACCTAGCAGTTCGAAAGCACCTCAAAGTGCAAGTAGATAAAGAGGTACCGCTCTGGCGGGAAGGTGAACAGCGTTTCCGTGCGGAGCTCTGGTTCGCTAGAGGTGGCTTAGTCATGCTGACCACATGACCCAGAAGCTGTACGCTGGCTCCCTTGGCTAGTAAAGCGAGATGAGCGCCACAACCCCAGAGTCATCTGCGACTGGACCTAACGGTCAGGGGTCCCTATACCTTTACCTTATAAATTTGTACTCCGGTACAAAAAGAAAAAAAGGTGAAGAGGGTTTGTTGGGAGAGGGAGAAAGGAAAGTGGAGGGTGAGACTTGGCAGATTCCACCAGGCATATCCCACCTTGTTATAAACAATACATCAAATAATCTAGGAGCCATATATTCTTTCTGGTTGCATTTCAGGCTCTGCTGATCTCTGAATAGCAGCTTTGATGGCATTCTCCTCTTGCTACCACACCCTCCTTACCACCAAAGTTCAAAGTTTTGAGAGAGTTTCTTCTCCCTTCAGTTCAGAAGACAGGCTTCAGATGCATTGTGAGAAATGACTAGAAAGGCACTGCTGTCACAGCGACCTCAAGAAGTTCCACAGAACCTTTTCGCTGCAAAGACAAAGCTGCATCCCCTTCATCCCTCCTTTCTTTCCTTGAAGCGATTTCAAAGAAGAATGCAAAAGAGAAGTTAATATGGAAATGCCTGCATAATATAAAATAGCAACAGAGAGAGCACTGATGGTGGGGGGTGGGGGTGGTGGCAGCACTCACCTGACCTCTGGTTGCTCTGCCATTCTTTAGTTCTGCTCCCACCTCATTCTTAATCTTTTTACTGGACCCCCCTATAAACTGGTGGGGTTTATGTAACAAGTGATGCCATTCTCAATTGGTTCACAGTCTAGTAGTGAAATGAAATAGCTTGGACTGGCAGCGGCTTTGTCCTCTTTTTAGCTCTTCAGTATATGGCAACCCAATTATTATTATTATTATTTTATTATTATTATTACAAATTCCTTTCTTTTAAGTATGTTGAGAAAATGGTTTTCCGGGTATGTAGAATCACTCAACTAGATTCATGGTGCAAGTGCCAATCAGTAGTGATTCATGAGAACCGCTGCTTTCAGAACATCCAAGGTATAGACCTAGGGTATAATCTCCCAGACATTTGAGTTTATAATCGAAACTTGGCATTGCTTGGATGCCACCCACCCAAATGTGTAGCTTTTGTACTTTCCGTCCTGAGAACTCCCAACCTGCTGTTAAGCAATCTGAAAACTATAACAACCGTCCAGGAGAACAGACTGGGAGATATAATAAGATTGTAAAGCTTTCTTTATGGAAGAAAATAATGATGCAGATTTCTCATTACTCAAAACTGGTTCGAGTGAAAAAACATCCCGAGTAAACAAAAACAACAACTAATTAATGATGATTTATAGCTTATTACCAAATGCCAGGCAAGAAAACATATTTGGCCAAAGTGAGAGCCAATGTGGTGCAGAGTGTTGGACTAGGACCTGGGAAACCAGAGCCTGCTTGGTGACCTTGGGCCAGGCACAGATTTTTTGACCTACCTCACAGGCTTGCTGTATCAAATGCAAGGGAGGAAGAACAATGTGTACCACCTTGAACTTCTTGGAGGAAAGGTGAGATATAAATGCCATAAATAAAGTACCAAGCATTTCTTGAAATTGAGATACAGTGGTACCTTGGTTCTCAAAATTAATCCATTCCAGAAGTCCGTTCCAAAACCAAAGCGTTCCAAAACTAAGGTGCGCTTTCCCATAGAAAGTAATGCAAAACAGATTAATCCATTCCAGCCTTTAAAAACAACCCCTAAAACAGCAATTTAACATGAATTTTACTATCTAACAAGACCATTGATCCATAAAATGAAAGCAATAATCAATGTACTGCACTATAAAATAAATAAGACAGTATTGTAGATGTTAGAAATTAAAAATATTATTATTTTCTTACCTGCACTGATGATAGTCATTGTTTGGATGGGGGGCTTTTATCCATTTCCGCAGTCACACAATCAATCAATCAATCAATCAGCAGCTGAACTGGGTTCCACACAGTCACAAAAACAAATTAACCAAAAAAGCCTCAAAACCAAAAACGCACAATAAATAGCAAAAACAAACTTAATCTGTTTGACTTCCGAAATGTTCGAAAACCACGGTCTGGCTTCTGATTGGTGCAGGCACCCCAGAAACAATAGCTGACAACCATATCAGATGTTTGGCTTCCGAAAAACATTAGAAAACCGGAACACTTACTTCTGGGTTTCCGGCGTTTTGGGAACCAAGGTACCATGGTAACTATAAACACTTGTTTACAAAACCGAGTAAACATCAAAATTAATATTTCTTCTCTTTTGACTCTCCCTCCCTCTCTCTCTCTTTGTATTGAGCCTGAGTATTAAGTTAATAAAACTGCAGAGGCGCTAGATAGCAAATAAATCCCACTGTTCTTTTCTGCCTCAAATGCTTTTATGGTTTATTTTGATGGGATTTCAAAACAATTAGAAAATGCTTCCAGGGGTTTCTATTACAAAACCATGAGGGGCATTTTGCAATGGTACAACTTGGGGACAGGAAATGTCCTCAGACTAAATGAGCAGGTAGAACTGTCCTTAGGTGGCTTCTAAGTAGTTGCCTAATGCTAGCTGAGGGAGTGCATATGAGGGTGATTGAGGGTGAGCAATATGTTAATTGTTCCATTGAAAGCACAGAAAAGCTTTTTTAGGGAAAGGTGGAGAGGAAGTTTCTTACCATCTCTTTCTGTTACCCTCCCTCCCTCCCTCCCTCCCTTACAAGGCCTTTGGGAACACCTGGAGCTCTGGAGAGAAAAACTGAGAAGTTTTTTTGAGGACAGTAAATGGTATTTCCAATAAGACTACAGGCTGTTTCACACTCAGGTCCAGTGTGTGTATCCATTGTGTCTCCATAGCAAAATATTGTATGTATATTTCAGCCCATGTTTGATTGCCCAGGGGCAGGGAAGAATCATAGAATCTTAGAGTTTCTGAGCACAATTCAAAGTGTTGGTGCTGACCTTTAAA